ACCAGGCCTGAGGGCCACAGGTTAAAATCACTCGCCTTTGGCTTGGTCGCATAACTTTCTATCCCCTAGGCCAAGAGAGTTCTCTCTTTGACTTATAGCAATTCTATGAACAACAGATCTAGTCCTTGCCCTATGATATGCCATCCCCACAATTTGAGACACGCTCAGGCCCATTGCTACAATCACTGTATCAATCCGTCGTGTTGAGGATTTATAGTTATTAAAATATTTTTCAAATTCTTTCTTTCCTGCAACTTTAAAATATTATTTCTTCATCTACACATTAGTTTTTTTTCATAGTAAAAGAATATGCATTAATTATAACTGACAAAACAGCCCCACTTACTTTCCAGAGCTGCACATTTTTCTGTATCTGTAACAATATGTCTACCTTCCTGTTTTATTGTTGTGTACTTGTGGTCCTGGAGAAGAGTCTTGAACTACCATGGACCTCCAATAAAATAAAAATGTCTGTCTTAGAAAGTGTGAAATAAAATTTCACCTTGGAGGCTAGGATTTTGAAGCTCTGTCTCACATACTTTGGGTATGTGGCCAGGGGAGACCCATCCTTGGAGAAGGACATCATGCTCAGAAGGGTGGAAGGACAGTGCAGAAGAGAAAGACTCTGGATAAGATGGATTGATATAGTATCTGGGGTAATAGGGCTTGGTGTGTCAGAATTAGTGAGATTGACTCAGGACTGAGCAAGCATCAGAACTGTGGTACATAAGGTCGCATGCAACTTGACAGCATATGACAACAAATACCACCACCTTCGGAGATGGAACTTATTACTGACCCTCCAGAGGGTTTTGGAGGGAATTAATTGCATGAGAAGAAATTGCTCATCTTTCTCCTGTGGAACATCTGGGAGATTTAAACTGCATGGTAAGAATCTGAGCTACAATCCCAAAGGTTCATGGTTCAAATTCACCAGTTGCTTCATAGGAGAAAGACAGGCAATCTCCTCCCTTGTAATTTACTGCCTCTGAAAACCCAGTGGAGATTCAGCTTTGTGTGGGTTCCACCAGATGGTAAACAGCAAAACAACCTTTGGAGTTGCCAGAACAGCTCCTTAAGAAGGGAATAAAAGGTATCCAAATAGGCAACGAGGAGGTAAAATTATCCCTCTATGCTGATGACTTGATAGTATACTTAGAAAACCCTAAAGACTCAGCAAGAAAACTATTGGACGTAGTTGACCAATTCAGCAAAGTAGCAGGATACAAG